TGATAAGATTTGCTAAGGGTCTGTCAATTTTGTTAATTTTTTCGAAGAACCAACTTTTTATTTTATTGATTCTTTCTATGGTTTTTTTTGGATTCTAATTCATTTAATTCTGATTTAATTTTAATTATTTCTTTCCATCTACTGGATTGGGGTTTATCTTGCTGCTCTTTTTCAAGGAGGCTCAGATTCTCATTAAATTGTTGGTTTCAGATCTTTCCAATTCGTTGATGTAGGAACTCAGAGCTATAAACTTGTCTCTGAGTACTGCCTTTGCTGTGTCCCAGAGGAGCTGGTAATTTGTGTGTTAATGAACATTTGAATTTCTTTTCTAATCTCTTCCATAACCCACTCATGATTCAGCAGTGTGTTGTTCAGCCTCCATGTGTTACAGGACTTTCTTTGGCGGCTTTTGGTGTTGAGTTCTAATTTTATTCCCTTGTGGTCTGAGAGAATGCAAGGTATAAGTTCAATGTTTCTGAATTTGGACAAGGTTGATTTGTGGCCTAAAATGTGGTCTATTTTGGAAAATGTTCCATGTGCCGCTGAGAAAAACGTGTATTCTGATGCTGCTGGGTGAAATATTCAGTAGATGTCTGTTAAATCTAGTTGATCTATGCAGTTGTTTAGATCTGTTGAGTTTTTGCTGAGTTAATCTATCTAGTGGGGAAAGTGGTGTGTTAAAGTCCCTAACAATTAATGTCTTTGGATCTATGTGGGATTTGAGGGAAAGTAGTGTTTCTTGGATAAATTTGGGTGCTCCATTGTTTGGCAAATAAGATATTTAGAATTAACATTGAATTCTTGTCTGCATTTTCCTCTCTTCCCCTCTTCGTTTGTCCACCCCTTTCAAGCACCCACTTTCTGGTGTTTTATTTTGCTTTATTGTATAAGTTAATAAATCCAACCCAAATCCAACATCCAACTTTCAACTCTAGCTTTTCAGAAACATTTGTCCCCAATTTTCTTTTTCATAACCATGTAAGTTAGATTTTTTCACTATTTATTCATGTGTACAAAGAGTAAAAAATATCCCACATGTAGAGTAGAACCTCCTATGCAGGATCCCCTAAAACATAGGATTGCTCAGTTATCTGCTGGTACATGACAAACTACCCCAAAACATAATGATGTTGAGCAGTCCTTCTGCTGGTCTCACTTAAGGCCTTCATGTAGGGGCTGGGATGACCACAATAACTGCATTCAGGCCCCTTGGTTGGAAGGCTAGATTCCGCTGGGACACTGGACCATGGAGCCTCTCCTTCACCTGACTTCCTGCTACACTCTCTCCAGCAACTTAGCTGTTGTTTTATATGGCAACTCAGGGCTCTCAAAGGCACCAAAATAAAAGCTTTCAACCACCTACCAGCTTAGTACTAGAGCCACTTCTGCCACATACATGTCTTGTACAAGGAAGCCACAGCCAGCTCAGGCTCCAAGTGGAATTAAGTACACAGCCTGTGTCTGGGAAGACATGGCTCTTGGGGGCCATCTTTGGAGAGTAGCTATTTACTCCAGGGATAGAGTTTTACTGTTCTTCCACATAGACCACAGATCCTCTCTACTCTTTTTCCAGTGCCTTGTGTCTCTAGTGGTATGCCGAAACCCACAAATATCACCTTCTTCTCCATTAACATGAAGAATGTTTTACAGTGGAATCCACCAGAGGGTCTACATGGAATTGAACTTACCTACACTGTGCAATATTTCATGTAAGTTGGTTCTTTTTTTATTCTACTTTAGAAACATGACACTTATACTCTTGCTTATTGTGCAAAAATAAAAAAATATTTATGGTCTTAAGGTTGGAAAAGTTTTGGATCTTTTGTCTTAACTTTCCGTGGCACATTATCTTATGAATGCTCATTCAAGGGAAGTTATTTAAATGGTCAAAAGAAGTCATTCCGAACATTATTCACTGGCTAAGCTAACAAGGCAGTTCACCAACGCTGAGTCTTGACTGCTTATTGGAGTTTCAGACCTTTTTAGAGCAAATAAAACAGTGTGGAATTCTGTGCCATAAATTGGTCCTACACTGTGACCTTTCACCTCTCCATCAAAACTCATTGCAGGTGAGAAAGAATGCAGGACAGATAGGCAATGTCTAACTTCCAGAAAAGAAGAAAAATAGCCACAGCCCAGACCACTAAGTGATGCAACTCAACCAACAGTTGTAGAATCAGAAGTAAAACAAATGCAGAAGTTGACATCAGTCTGAACAGCAGCAAAATAATTTCACAAAATAATTCCACAAGGAGGAGGAGGAAGAGAAAAGGGAGGGAGGAAGGAAGGAAGGAAGGAAGGAAGGAAGGAAGGAAGGAAGGAAGGAAGGAAGGAAGGAGAAGGGACCACGTTTTTTATGTATGTGTATGCCAGTACTGGGGCTTGAACTCAGGACTTGGGAACTGTCCCTTTGCTGCTTTGCTCAAGGCTACTGCTCTACCACTTGAGACATAGTTCCACTTGCAACTTTTTGGAGGTTGATTAGAGATAAGAGTCACATGGACCATAATCTCTAGATCTCAGCCTCCTAAGTAACTAGGATTATAGTCATGAGCCACTGGCACTTGGATCAAGTTAGTTCTGGGGGTTTTGTCTTTGTAAGAAAGATAAAAATGAAGCCAGTAAAAGGTTTTAAGGCTGTTCATCACCTTATTTATATGAACCCCATCCCAGGAGATCAGGAGTTTCTCAGGAGCTGGTATTTTAGGAAAGTGAGCCCAACTTTGTCAAGGGTAATGGCTTGTGAGCACCCTCTTTTCTTTATTCATTAGATGGAGCGAAGAGCTTGCTCTGTCCTTTATATTTGTATATGTTTTGTATAAGGCTTAGAAATAGATTCATTACTGCTCTGTGAGAGCAAATAATTTAGATTATGCATCATTAAAACAGTACCTAAAAGGAAGCTTGCCTGGTGAGAGTGCTGACATACTCCCAGGTGTGGAAGGTGGGCTGGAAGGAATCCAGGCCCGGATTCCACTACCAGAAGTCTCCCAGTGCTGCTCTAAAGTCAGCCAGCCCTCGGTCCCTGGCCAGGCTGTGAAGTGAGCCAGATGAGCCTGGGCAGGCTATATATTTCTGTATATTGTTTGAATACTTTGTTTCCAAAGGGATATTTTAATGAAAGATTAAATTATATCCACCCAAAGAATTTAATGCAGACAGTAGTGGGTCGTGCCAAAAACATAAGGTGGTTCTGATCTCAGATAAGCCTTTAATAGTCGTATGAATCTGAATGGATCCCTTAGTCTTGCTGAGCTCCAATCTGCTAATCTGTAAAGTAGAATGAAAATCATGGAAGCTACTTCCTAGGATAGTTATGTCATTCAGTGGGGTAAAGTTTGCAAATCCTGAGCACTGTCTCAGAGCATGATGGGCATTTGGCAGATACTAGCACTTGCTACTAGAAACAGACACCTAAGTCCCTCAAGACTTCTTTTGAGTCTCATAAGTGTTATAGGTAAAATAGTAGTTGAATGATTCACTCAGTATCTTTCATTCAGAATCTAGAAAAGACACATTTTCTCCTTTGTCAGCAGCCATGGTGGCGGGGGGG